AGTCATCTATTGGAAGTAATACAAATGAGCGACTAGATGATGAATCTGGTATGTCCAAAGATAAGTCTGTAATGCAGTTTTAATAGACTCAGCTATATTCTTTCCTATGTTCACAAAATATTCATTTCTGTCACTAACCGACTTCCTAGGATCATTAAAAGGAAGTTCTGTAGCTGAAGCTTCGATTTTAGTCATGTGAATTGTATTTTTTATTATTTCCCACAGTTTTTGCTATTAGATTTAGCTTTACAAAGTTCCGCCTTTTCTTATTCTTGTTTTACCTACTTAAGTATATTATAACAAAAAAATTATATCTAGTGTAGGTTGATTTGATGACTCCGTGGGGCAGTGGCTTAGCAATTGAGTTACAGCGCTAAGGGCCGCGGGTTCAAATCTCGCACCGAACAAGTGTTTGTATGACCTACAAATATTGTTACCGGGCTGGATGTTTGTCCTTGTGCAATTTATGATTGTAAGCTGCCCTCACGATACAGGAGAAAATCCTAGTGTGAAGGTTACGTTTAAAAAAAGAAAAAAGAAGAGTATTAATTAAAAACGTAACTGCATCATTTACATTTCGCATTAAGTATACAGGTTTTAAATCTAATTCATTAGCACACCCTTATAGTCAAGTTGATTAATTGTTTTTTTATGAAATTATTATTATTATCGATTATGCTATAATGATCTGTGATAGTAGTTAGTATGAGCAAAATGACAACGTACCTGTAGTTTTGATTTCAAAATTATGTGATCCAAACAAGTATGTGTTGGGATATTAAAAGCTAGTAGCATACCGTGAGAGGCTAATAGATCAAACTCTATATGGGCTCTAGAGTCTTGATGAGGATGATATATCAATATTTATATCTCCTGTTAGTATTATATTTTATATTGTGCTAAGCCAATCAGTACAGAATTTCAAGATTTAAAGAAACAGTTCCGTGACACAGTGGCTTAGCAATGAGTTGTTGCGCTGGGGGCCGCGGGTTCGAATCCCGCACGGAACAAATATTTGTATTGGCTACAAATAATTGTTCATAAATGTTTACATGTTGTGCATGTTTACAGATAGATGGGTGCTACTATCTTCTCGGATTCCTATAATTAATAAAATTAAATCCAAACTCAAGCATACCACTGCAAGACTTCAAGATACTGTAAGCTCATTCTGCGTAGATTAGACCAAAAACTAATATTCAAAAACTGACGTTAGCCGGGCTAACTGTGACATTGGGACGTCAAACACCCCCGTGACCACGGGTGCTGTAAAGCACCGGAAACATCGAGAAATAAAAAGTTAAATTAAACACGATAAAATCCGTAAAATTAGTTTCATTTAATGTGTAGTATTCCCATAAATGTAAGAAATCATTAAGTAAAAACTTGCATTGTATTAAACTTATCGACTCGAGAGTTTAAAACTGTTAAAAATCATGAATTCATTATAGCCTTAACCTGTGAGAGCACTGTCAAAAGTATATCAAAATATGTTAATAGCTGATCTCCAATAAATTTTTTAAATGCAACTTAAAAGATTTTATATTAGACTCCCATGAGCCACCAAAACGCGGGGCGTGCGGAGGAGTAAATTTCCAATGTATGCTTTGCCGTAAAGTTTCTTCACAAAATGCGGTTTGGTAATACTTAGCGCTCACACGCACTATACGGTTACTCGTAATGTGGCTAGCCGTCCGACTGACTGCAGGTTGCGGTTGAAATGCCGTTGCGATTTGCAGTCATATCGATTCATTTCAAAAATGAACGTGTAAGAAGTTGCATCTATTTACTACATTTATACACGTTATGTAAAGTATAAAAAACAAAGAAAGAAGTGCTAGAAGCATACATTTTTCGGTATTCATCATAAACGTACCAGGTGCACACAATCTTACTTAATGGTGGGCAGCCACAAACTGAGCAACACACTGCGAAAAGCAACCGTCTGGCTGATCGTCATTCGGGCCGCAGCCCTCTGAGCGAAAAGAGTAGTTTGCGGGAAGCCGTACTACTGAAGAAATCATATTGTACATAGGAATTGACGTTACGTATATAATTTTGCTTGCGGTCAGCCGTACGGTTGACCGTATTGCGGGTAACCGCATAGTGCGTATGAGCCCTTAGATTTAAAATAAGACTTAGCGCCTGTAAAATAAGTGCCATGATCCGAATATAACGTCAAACATGTGCTTCTGCGGGAAATAAAGCGTTTAAATCCAGAAATGATTCTAACTAGGTCCTGATGTCATCACAGTGTGCGTGGTTTTACTAAATGTACTATCAGTTCTATGCGATTATGTGTCGAAAATCGCAAATCGGTATATTTTCGTAGTATTAAGAAGAAAGAGAAGAAATGTTGTGTTTTATCGTGTAAAAACTACTCAGATAGACGGTTTGATGCTATGAATGGCATCACATTAAATTTGTAACTAATTTTATACCTAAGTTATTAAAAAGGTTCCAGAAAAATCTCTGCGTTGGCTTTCAAATGTAATTATATATATTCTACACGAGAGAGCTCAGTATTGGTAAAATAATCATACGAATGTATTGAAATTTGTTTGCATTCATTCCTAAAGAATTTTTAATCGCCAAAATATTATTTTTATAGTTTTGATAATAATTTTGTAAACAGGCCACCATCAATCATCAAGGTAGCTAAACTATATAGCAACATCGATATGGAACGATGCGAGTAGTTTTACTATTTATCGGTAGATGGAAAATGATAAAGTAGGCGGAGCTTAACATCCCCTTACCCCGCAAATTGTCACGCGTTGTTATATAGTGAAATCTAATTACAACAACTCCTCTTTGTATTTGCTCCGTGGCTTAGACTGCATCACTCTGCAGCCGGGCCGACAATAAAAGCCAGTGATTTTAGAACACTCAATTTTATTTATATGTATAGATATATAGATTGGATGATAAATAATTAAAGACTCTTTATTTATCAAATATTTACATAAATTATTAAAATGTTGTTTTTGTTTTTCAGTTCCATTTTGTTATATGTGAACTAGCAGGAAACAATTAACAAGAGTATTTCTTTGCACTACGGATGTCAAAAAACTCATTTGAGTGTAAATCTGAACACAAAATACCGATCAGAGATATTCTAACGCAATGTTCATTAGAATGAAAATTTTAACTACATACTGCGCAATATTTTTTTTACCATGGGGAATAATATTTTTGTGTACATTATCCAAAAAATCTTGGAGTGTGCTCCGTCCTTTACGACATTTTCAAAAAAGATCAAACACACGAACTACATGCCGTATTAACTTAATCGTATATATACAAATTTATGAAGTGATTAACCACGCACACCAATTTAACAAAAAAAAAAAATAACAAAAATTCTATACTACTTGTTTACCTGTAAATTACTTGGTCTACGCGTCAACACTTGTAGTCTATGGGAAATTTGCGGGAAGCATCGCGGTGGTTCGATGATGTATTGCTGACTTACTTATATCTCCAGGGATGTTCTTGTACTTAACATGCACCAAAATTTTAACTTTCAATTTAATACTAAATTCATTGTTTGGATGCGATATGTCACTTAAAACTAAATTAAAATTTAGTTAATAACTTTACTACTTCATACGTGTAAATCAGCCTTAAGGCCAAGCGAGGCTTGGTCACCCAGGTACTTTTAATAAATACGTCATCGATCCAAATTTCGACCATGTTTCATTCGATGAATTAATATCATTAGCAATTTCAATCAATCTAGTTTTAGGGTATTTAAAAATAACATAAGTTGTTATTGATATAAAATGTGTCCGGGTTTGTAGTTATAAAACTTTAAGGCCGGTTTATACACTTAATTTATAGATAAAAACACCCCACCTTAATCGTTCAATGGTGCAGTTCCCAAAATCTCAAAAATAGAGCAATTTTAGTATCTGTCTTACTTATTTCGATATTCACAGTCTAACAATAATCCTCGATTAAGAATCAAAATTTGGTGTCATCCCTGAGGAATAAAAGGGAATGGCCTCGTTTCCAGAAAAAGGGTCTCCGGTTCTCTACACTCGCCACATGAAACACAACAATATTAAGCTGCTATTTATGCAGGTATTCTGTGATTGCTTGGTCCTAACCTGGTAGACACGACCCATTCGTGGTACAACTATAAAATAGCTGCAACGTATTTATAAATTTATTTAATCATTTATAAAACATATTAAAAAAAAGATGTGTACTTTTTACTATATAACTGCTTATAAATATATCCATACATACATACAGGTATAGATAAAATAAATAAATACAATCAATATTAAAGATATAACACGTAGAAGACTTAGAGAAAAAATTGTCTTTACTCGATTTCTGCACAAATTCTCTGTTTTTTTTTTTCATTAATAGGAATTCTAAATAATTATTGTAGGTGTGTACAGAGAATGAAGAGGAATATCTACTAAGCTGACTATAAAGGATGGGAATTCTAAGAGGGTTTAAGATGAGATCTACAAACTGCAAATCGATTTTGGGTGTACGAAGAGAATTTTGAACTGTGTACGGTTTTAAAAAGAAGACAAAGTTTATGTTTTATTTTAGGAATATTTAGAGAGTGTTAAGGTGACATCTACAAGCTGTAAATAGATTACAGTGATATGAATGGAAATTCGGGCCATGTACAATGTTAGAAAGAAGATAAAGGATCTGCCTGTCTTAAATATTTTAATAAATGCGTAAAGGTAAAAATTTGATTTGCCTAGAGTTATATCTATTTTACAATATGCAATTTATTCACTCCTAATTTGAGATAAAAAAATCACAAATTTATGTTATAACGCAAATAGAATAAACTAGAAATGACAAGATTGAGAATCTCTGGCGATGAATAAGTAATTATTTTTTATATTGTAATTAAGTAAAACTGGACATAAGAATAACTTTAAAAATTAGCCAGAATTAAGGTATAAATAGGCATCAATTTCAAAAGCGTCACATTACTAAAGTTTGGCTCAATTGATAATATCATCATGCGAAGAATTTGGGTACGTATTAAGTATTCTAAGTGATATTTGTTATTGATCAGATAACATAATTAACTTTTAATATATACTAATGGTCGAAAATCGGCCGTAATTCATAAATTTTTTAGGTTTATATAGTAAGCAAACTGTACCGCATATTAATATAATATAAACACAGATGCCGTGTAGTGGCGGTTAAGAATATCCACTACCCCATATCTTCCCGTGGGTGTCGTAAAAGGCGACAAAGGGAAACAGGCAGGAGATGGGCAGCAGCATCTTCCTGGTAACGACAAAATACAATAAAAAACTGCGGTTGCCAACCCGCTCGCCAAGCGTGGCAACTATGGCAATATACCCCCCATAATGAAGGTTACGAAGAGACGGCCCCCAGTCCCCGGCGGCCCCGCTATTCCTGGCTACGGTGGCGACCATGGTAACGGCGGGGCAGGGGGTGCTAAGAATCTCCGGTGGAGGTTCGGTTGCCACCTACAACGACTCGACCTGGCAACATACAACGCACGCACCCTGAGGACTGACGAGAAGATTGTGGAGCTGGAAGAAGAGATAGACAAGTTACGCTGGCATATTATAGGATTATCCGAAGTCCGAAGAGAGGGGGAGGACACGGTAATCCTTGAATCCGGCAACTTGCTCTATCACCGGGAGGGCGACCATCTGTCCCAAGGAGGTGTCGGATTTATCGTCCACAAGTCTCTCGTTAACAACGTTGTAAAGATTGAGAGTGTGTCGACGAGGGTTGCGTACCTTATACTCAGAATCACCAAACGGTATTCGCTGAAGGTCATACAGGTTTACGCACCAACCTCGGCACACCCCGATCAGGAGGTGGAGGAAATGTATGAGGATATCTCTAGAGCCATGCATTCCTCCAAAACCCAATATACGGTGTTAATGGGAGACTTCAATGCAAAACTAGGCACAAGAGAGAACGGTGAGCTGAAAGTGGGGAAATTTGGAATAGGGCAACGGAACCCAAGGGGCCAGCAGTTGGCCGACTTCATGGAGAAAGAGGGACTCTTTATGATGAACTCTTTCTTCCAGAAGCGGCCCCACAGGAAGTGGACCTGGTCGAGCCCCGACGGTTCGACAAAAAATGAGATTGACTTCATTATGACGACCAGACGACAACTGTTCAGTGATGTCTCAGTGATCGCGAGGGTGAAAACCGGCAGCGATCACCGAATGGTTAGAGGCACACTGAACCTAAACGTTAAGTTGGAGAGGTCTCGTCTAATGAAGTCAACGCTCCGTCCCCCTCGTGCTCTAATCCAAAGTCCCGAAACCTTTCAGCTCGAGTTGCAAAACCGTTTTCAGTGCCTAGAAGACTGCAATGAAGTGGACGATTTGAATGACAAGCTCGTGGAAACTGTCCATGCGGTCGGAGCTAAGTTCTGCAAGACCCGCCGCAGAAGAACACAAAAACTCTCCGATCACACTCTTAATCTCATGGCTGTTAGACGGGAGATGAAGCTACATTCTTCAACAGATTTGACAGCATACAGGCAACTGAACAGACAGATCTCCAAATGCATGCGGCGGGACTTACGCAACTTCAATACAGCTCGTATTGAAGAAGCGATCGAGCGGAACCAAGGCTCCAAAGTCTTTGCCAGAGATCTGTCTGCCAGAAAGAGCCAACTGTCAAAGCTGAAGACCGAATGTGGCAGCATCGTTTCCGGGGCACCTGAGATTTTGAGTGAGATTGAGAGGTTCTATGGGCAGCTGTACACGTCATCGTTGGAGCCACACGCAAGTGTGAGTAACGATCCAAGAGCGAGTCTTATCCGACATTATTCCGATGATATCCCGGACGTCAGTCTGAGCGAGATTAGAATGGCTCTCCAGCACCTTAAAAACGGCAAGGCCCCAGGCCAGGATGGAATTACAGCGGAGCTTCTGAAAGCGGGTGGAAAACCGGTACTTGAAGTCCTTCAGAAGCTCTTTAATTCCGTCCTCCATGGTGGCATTACACCGGAGGCGTGGAGCAGAAGTGCGGTGGTCTTGTTCTTCAAGAAAGGCGACAACGCTCTCTTGAAGAACTACAGACCGATTTCCCTTCTGAGCCGCGTCTACGTGCTGTTTTCGAGAGTCATTACGAATCGTCTCGCGCGCAGACTTGACGACTTCCAGCCTCCCGAACAAGCCGGTTTCCGAAAAGGCTTTAGCACCTTAGACCACATACATACCCTTCGGCAAATTGTACAGAAGTCCGAGGAGTACAATTTGCCACTATGTCTGGCGTATGTGGACTATGAGAAAGCCTTTGATTCCGTCGAAATTTGGGCGGTGCTGCAGTCCCTTCAGCGATGCCAAGTTGACTGTCGGTATATCGAAGTGTTGAAGTGCTTGTACAGTAGGGCTACGATGGCTATCCGAGTACAGAACCAGAGTACGAAACCTATCCAATTGCAGAGAGGTGTAAGACAGGGTGACGTCATATCCCCGAAACTCTTCACCGCTGCATTGGAAGATGTTTTCAAGCTTCTGGACTGGAAAGGATACGGTATCAACATCAATGGCGAGTACATCACTCACCTTCGATTTGCCGACGATATAGTCCTTATGGCAGAATCGCTGGAGGACCTAAGCACTATGCTCAATGACCTCAATAGTGTTTCCCAACGGATAGGTCTTAAGATGAACATGGACAAAACAAAGATCATGTTTAATGTCCATGTCACACCTATGCCGGTAGTTGTTGGGAACACTAAGCTCGAAGTTGTTGACGAGTATGTTTACCTGGGACAAATAGTCCGACTAGGTAAGTCCAACTTCGACCGAGAGGTCAATCGACGGATTCAACTCGGTTGGGCAGCGTTCGGGAAATTACGGCACATCTTCTCGTCAGGTATACCTCAAAACTTGAAAACGAGACTGTACACCCAGTGCGTGTTGCCAGTGATGACATACGGAACTGAGACGTGGTCCTTCACTGCTGGCCGGATGAGGAAGCTCAAGGTCGCTCAGCGAGCTATGGAGAGGGCTATGCTCGGAGTTTCTCTGCGTGATAAACTCAGAAATGAGGATATCCGCAGTAGAACCAGAGTGACCGACATAGCCCAACGGATTAGTAAGCTGAAGTGGCAATGGGCCGGCCATATAGCTCGAAGAACCGACAACCGATGGGGAAGAAAGGTTCTCGAGTGGCAGCCTCGTACCGGCAGGCGAAGTGTAGGGCGTCCCCCCACTAGATGGAGTGACGACCTGGTAAGATTTGCAGGAAGTCGATGGATGCAGGTGGCTCGGGACCGTGCTTTGTGGCATTCTTTGGGGGAGGCCTATGTTCAGCAGTGGACTTGTGAAGGGCTGTAATGATGATGATGAAACACAGATATTTATTATAATGAATTTTTTGCCTATATATTCTAAAACTTAGTGATTATATTATAATTTTTAGTACTTACTCTGAGAAATTGGCAGAAACAAACGATAATTTGTCCTAGCGACATTTAAATATTATATGTTTCACATGACAGTATGAACGTAAACAAAGTATGTTTAATATATCCAATATTAAAAAAAAAAACTAAAACTAATAACTTAATTATCATACAGTCCTACTCCCCATGGCATCGTGCCAAGAACGCTGGCTGCATTTCCTCGCTGAATGGCTATACTTATCCTTTGAGCGAGAAAAGAACCAGCCCTCTTATCATCAGCAGCAACGGCCAGTCGCGGATAGAATTCCTTTAGGAACTTCACCGCATATGGACCCCACGGAACGATAGTTTCTACAGCAAATGGCACAAATATGAAGTCATCTCTCAGAGACTCATACTTACGCCACTTACTCAGTTCAGATGCCTCTGATGCCGCCCCGGCTCTAAACGATGTACCCTTGAGATGAGAGGCCGCCAAAGTGTCTACGCAAGTATCATTTTACATTAGGGCTTTAGCTTTCTCCCAAGGGACCAATGTCATACCGTCGGGTCTCCTGCCATCGTCTCTAAATGTTTCACAAGGCTCTAAAACCAAGGGAACATTTGTTGAGACAAAGAGCCCTTTGGATGACATCGTTCAAAGAACCGTGCCGAGAAAACATACCTATGTTTAATTCAATTTAATTCACTTTAATTTTATGTATTTATAATACATATTTTAGATAAATGTTTTCTTTCTGCGTTCGTTCTTTATAAAAACTTTATGTCAAATCTCACATACCTCGGTGCGTGCAATATGCTTCAAAAGGGGCAAAGTATTTATATACAGGGTTATTTTTCAAAAAGAAGGCAAATTTTTAACTTAAGTTAAAATATATAGATAATGATATACTGTTATTGCAGTTTTTGAAAATACAAGTAAATAAGGCTTCTATTTTTATTTGAAATTATCACAAATTGAATGTGATTTATGGGCAACAACGTTTTTGCCTATTGATTGAACCTTATGAAGTTGTACGTGTGCAGTAAAATCAGTTTAAATAATTCATTGCTACGCATTTTAAATTTAAAAGATAAGAAGGACAGAATGTTTGAGATTTTTTAAATAATTTTTCTGCACCATTTGCCTTTATTACTTAATCTGAACCTTCACTGCAAATTTGGCCAATTAATCCTGACGGTTAAGGCAAATCCTCACTGTAACGGGAAGGACCCATGTTTAGCGGTGGATTTTTACGGGGTAATGAAGAAGGTGTATGATAATATGATAACTGTCACTGAAATTGCAATTATTGTAAGATAACATTTGTAAAAAAGAACATCCTTATTTGATTTTTATTCAAATTAGAAAATTATCAATAAAACTTGTTAATTTGTGTTAATAGGTGCTGTTCTTATCTGTGGCCCTAGCCTTCGCAGCTGAAACTGATACTACAAAGTGAGTTGTGCTCTTTCATTGTTTGCATTTTAAGAAATAAAAATTGATAATGATCTGATTTACATTTATTTAAGTCGACTTTTACTATAATTATAAAATAATCGTGAACTTTTAGTCTAAGTATACTGCCAGAGTGTTTCAGGTAACGTCATTCTAATTGCATTTATATAATATTTATAGTCCAGGCCTCTACAGTACCACCGCTCAAGGCGCGAACGTTAACAATGCTGATGACGATGGACAATACAAGCCAGACAATAGTGGTGCTTACAAGTAAGTTTATATATTATTTATAAATTAGATATGCTATCGTGTGATATTGGGGTAAGGGGATACTGCGTGCGAGTAAGAGTATTAAGATTTGACTAAGGAAATTGCCACGATGATTTTGAAGCTTCCGATATATACTCGTTGAATTGTCTCATAAATAAGCAAACTTCAAAAACGACAAGACAAAATAGCATCGGAAAGCACTGTCGAAGAGACGAGATCATGTATGGCGATAAAACAAATGAGGACTTTATTCTACTACTACGAGTGTAGCAATAGAATATTTACGGGCTGGTGAGAAAGAGATACACATGGAAATTCTATAAAAATAGAAAATTTTACAATGAATTCATTTTAATATAGCGTTAGTTAATCAGAAAATGTATTTTCTGCCTGCTTATTAGGCTTAAAAAAATTTGATACTTTTCAAGTGAAAAGCTTAAGTTTAAGTGAAAAGCTAAAAATTCTGACATTTACACAGGTAGACGTTTTACATACAATTAACAAATCATGAACTTTTAGTCTAAGTATACTGCCAGAGTGTTTCAGGTAACGTCATTCTAATTGCATTTATATAATATTTACAGTCCAGGCCTCTACAGTACCACCGCTCAAGGCGCGAACGTGAACAAAGCTGATGACAGTGGAAAATATACGCCAGATAATAGTGGTGATTACAAGTAAGTTCATTGATCAGTCGTAAATTAGATATGTTAAGGTGATGTTAGAGGATACCACGTGGGAGTAAGAGTATTTAGATTTAATTGAGGAAAATTCCACGATATTTTTGAAGCTTCCCATATATAATTGTTTAATATGTGGTTGAGCTATGCTGCACCTATATTAGTAGTATAGTTGTAGCACAAATGGGTCGGCTCGACTGGAGAAGGACCACGCTCTCACAGAATACCAGCGTAAAATGGCAGCTTGATACTACTGTGTTTCGTATGGTGAGTGTAGAGAACCGGATATTCATTTAACTAGAAAAGAGGCATTCCGTCTTAGTCCTCACGTATGCATCTGAATTTTTATTTTGTATTGAGGATAAATGTAGACGTCTATGGGTCACAGCAAGCACTTACTTTCAGGTAGACTGTGTGCTCGTTTGTCACCCTGTCCTATAAAAAAAATGTCTCATTAACAAGCAAAGCTTAAAATGACTAGATATAACAGCATTAGAAAGCACCGTCAAAGGGACGAGACGATGTATAGCGATTAAAACAAATTAGAAGTTCATTCTATTAATGTTTAATGTTTACGGGCTGGTAAAGTGATAATGCAAACCTTGAAAGAGCATAACTCACTTAGAGATATGCTTTATAATTATTTATCATTTAATACTATTTAATTTGTAATGAATTATAAATATTTTTTAATAATTACAGACCGACGTCATCTCAGTTCGTCACAACTACACCCCGATACAATTTTGCCTCCTCTACCCCATCTTTTGGATACAATCCTTATCGTTACTACCCTGGTGCATATAACAACTACGGAAGATACGACAACAACGGAAGATATGATAACTTTGGAAGATACGACAACTTTGGAAGATACGATAACTTTGGAAGATACGACAACTTTGGAAGATACGACAACCTTGGAAGATACGACAACTTTGGAAGATACGACAACTTGGGAAGATACGACAACTTTGGAAGATACGACAATCTTGGAAGATACGATAACTCTGGAAGATACACTGGAAGATATTATCCTGGTGCTTATAATGCTGGTCACTACGACAATTCCGGGCGCTATGTTCCTCAATACTCAGGATTTTATAAGTATGTTTTTTATTTTTATGAATCAACTTACTATTTAAGTATTTTTTCTTCTTTATTAACATTTTTAGACACTGCTGAATATTAGATTTTTTAAGTTTTTATCATACATTTCTTGGAAGATTTTCACATGCTTAACAGGCGGGTAGGTCAGACACTTTTGAGCTGTATTATCTCATGATATGTAGCATTATCTACTTCTCATCACCAGTCTGTAAGATTTTAGATTATTTCATTGCGGCATATTTTAATTCAGCCATTAATCGGGTGAATGAGTTTAAGGAGATGAATAGAAAAGGGAAAGGGGTAGAATAAAAAATGAAAAAGAGATCGACTAAAATACACATAATATAAATAGTAAAAAAATAAAGCAAAACTTTATTTTCTATATGGAAAATTGATTATAAAGTAAATTGCAGTATAGCTGTTCCTTATTAGTCTAAGACAAATTTTATACTACTTTTTGGATAGGTAAAAAGCCAAAAAAAATTCCTGATATTTATCTAGGTTGACTTTTTTACCTAAAATTATTAACTAATCGTGACCTTTTAGTCTAAGTATACTAATATAAGAGTGTTTCGAATAACGTCAATCTAATTATATTTAAATGATATTTACAGCCCAGGCTTCTACAGTACAACCACTCAAGGTTCGATCTTTAACAAAGCTGATGACAGTGGACAATACAAGCCAGATAATAGTGGTGCTTACAAGTGAGTTTATAGATTAGTTTATAGATGGTGGTGGTGTCAGAGGATACTGCGTGGGAGAAAAAGTATTATAATTTGGCTGAGAAAAATTCCAAGTTGATTTTGAAGCTTCCCTTGTATTATGTATACTTGTTGAATGGTCTCTTAAATAAACTAATTTTAAAACGACCAGATAAAACAACATTGAAAAGCACCCTCAAAGTTGCGAGATGAAGTATGGCGATTAAAGCAAATGAGGGATGTATTCTACTATTATAGCAGTGGAATGTTTACGGGCTGGTAAGGACAAGGAACAGATATATATATATATATATATATATATATATATATATATATATATATATATATATATATATATATATATTTCATGCAAATAGAAAATTTAACAATTAAGTATTTTGCATATAGTGGTAGTTATAGAGAAAATATATTTTCTGCTTACTTTTTAAGTTTAGACACGTTTGATACCACTTTTCAAGAGACATGCTTAAGTTTAAGTGAAAAGATAAAAATCCTGACTTTTACCTAGGTCGGCATTATAGCTATCATTATTAAATAATATTGAACTTTTATTATAAGTATACTGTAAGAGTGTTTAGGTAAAGTCAATCTAATTTCATTTTAATGATATTTACAGTCCAGGCCTCTACAGTACCACCGCTCAAGGCGTGAACGTTAACAAAGCTGATGATAGTGGAAAATACAAGCCAGACAATAGTGGAGATTACAAGTAAGTTTAAAGATAAGTCGTGAATTAGATATGCTGCCGTGCGATATTGATGTAAGCGGATACTGCTTGATAGTATGGAAAGCACTGACAAAGGGAAGAGATGATGAACGGCGATAAAAGCAAATGAGAGATTTCTTCTACTACTTCGAGTATAGCAGTGGAATGTTTACGGGCTGGTAATGATGAGGAAGAGATATACATGGAAATTCTATACAAAAATAATCTTTAACATTTAAGTAGTTTACATATTCAGTACAGCCCATAAAAGTCCACTGCTGAACATAAGCCTCCTCCAAAGATTTCCTTTTAAGGGATTTTGCCACAGTTGCTACGTTTGGCAGGCGGGTTGGCAACCGCAGTTTTTTTATAATTCTGAGTTATTATCAGAAAGATGTTGCTGTCCATCTCCTGTTTCACCTTCCATCTGTCACCTCTTACCCAAGGGACGGTATGGTGTAAGGGATATTCTTTTACGGCCACTACACGGTGAAAGAATATCCACTAGCCCATATCGTCCATATAGTGGTTCATGTAGTGTTTTGCATACAGTGGTAGTTAATTAGAAAATGTATTTTCTGCTTACTGAGTGATTTCTCAGTGTTTTGAATAACAACAAAAACAGTATTTGTATCGTAGACTTAAAATATAATGGCGTATAAAGGACCTGACAGCTCAAAAAAGCTTAAAAAATTTTGATTTGTCACTATGTGCCTTAAGTAGCGATTTATATTTTACCTATAAGGACTTTAGATAAATTCTTTCAGTGCAACTATAATACTGCAATTTGGAAGTGCGGTAAAAAGGTTTAACAAAATTAGTTTTGTACATGACACCGACTTACTTCAAAAATTAACTGATTTTTTACCATGATTGTTCCAAAATAGCTATTTAAAATATTTTTTTCATTTATGCAAAAACATACTAGCAGGAATAAGCGTTCCTGTCTGCCTTTTGTTCGATTTTAATACAAAATCCAAATCATCTCTGCAGATATGAAACCCATAAAATTAAACAATTTTCCCCAAGAAACAGATCAAAAAGTTGTATTTTCGAGTATTTGTGACCCTTGGAGAAAAATGTTTACTGTCCTGGACAGTGTGTTGCCCACACGTGTATGTACTTTCAGGACGCACCAATAAAACACCGACTTTATAGTAATCGAGATGGCTGGTAGACAACGCCCGCTCGCACTGGCGTTTCGCGTGGAAGTGATGCGAGACAGCACTGTCACCACCGCGTTGATTCATTTATTTTAGTTCCTGAACACCACAGACAGTTTATCCTAAAATAATGTAAATAAAATATAAACGGGTGTATAAATTTAATGCCATTATGTTGTATACTGTTTTATTTTTTATACATGTATATATATATATATATATATATATATATATATATATAATAACAAAATATATATAAAAAATAAAACAGTCATTATGCACTCATTGTCTCCATTTTTATTTCACCAGCAAGCATTTGAAAATGATTTGTAAACAAATCAATTTCAATTATTGTTTAGAATTTAAACAGTGCAATCTTACTTAACTGGTTTCTACAAATATCCTAACTTCAATTATTAAATTTAATGTGAAAAGTAAAAATCTAAATAAAGTTACGCTTTTACAACGCATATCGAGCATTTATTTTCATTCCTATTCTTGTTGCGTGGGCTGTAAGTCTATATATTAATTAAAACATTCATGATAAATATCAACGTTGATTTCAATATAGTTCATATAAATAATTATAATCAATCCCTAGCGTACAAGTAAAATATTTTGATGAAAAATGTATCCACTAAAATCATGCAAATTATCAACAACTATTTTCAATTATTTCTTTACAAAATACAAAAGTTAACAAAATAATTGAACATATTCTATATTTTAGATAGTATAGGTATAACATAAATCTTAACCAAAAACATTGTCTTAGCAGACGTCTTGAGAATTTACATGTACTCGTAAAATGCGCAATTATGAGGATTCTTTCTATAATTAACACCACAGTTACTCACAGAACAAGTAACCATTTTTGAGGACCATTACTTACTGAAAATAATCACTATTATACTCAAAAAATTGGCCATTGTCATTCAAAATCGATCACAGATTTATAAGATTTGCTACCCTCTTCTATCTTGCTTTATTGCCGTAAGGAATTTTTTTTCCCTTGCACGACGACCATAGACCTATTGCTATCATACGTTTTTGATTTGCACAGTACACTTTATTATATTTTTAAACTGACAAGTTGCGAACGGGGAAAGAATCACAGAGATCAATAATATTCATTTCGAGTATATAATTCTATAGTAATGAATATCATGTAAGCTCGTTAAGAAACCGAATGGTGTAAACATGATGTAAAATTTATATTTTTTTTTGCAGCGGAAATCGTGGTACTGCAGATGGTGTATATAAAACCGAAAAAGCTGAAGCTCTCTCACCAGCAGTGATTTCTGACACCGCTAGTCCAACTGTTTCCCTTACTATTGTACCCGAGTCGAGTCCTTCGCCTAGTATTTTCTTAAACCCTTTACCAAGTGAAGTACAACTTTCAACTCCCTCCGCAGTTCTTAGTCAATCTCCAAGTGAAGTAACTACTGTAAATCCCACTGCTGCTTCAAGTTCAACTCCAAGTGAAGTCCCTGTATCTGATCCCAGCGAAGCCCCAATCTCAACTTTAAGTGCAGGCCCGAGCCCTAACACTGAAGTCTATAGCTCGACCGCAAGCCCTGTATTTAGTACTTCACCCAGCTTTTCGACTATTTTTGCCCCCAGTCCTTCTCTTGACTATGTGTACAAGCCTTTTAAACAAGTTGCTCCAGTCGTAAATACTTATAACGACGGTCGTTATAATAACAACTTTGGCATTGTTCGTCAAGAGACTGAGGTTCTTCCTGATGGCTATCACTATCTTTATGAGACTGAGAATAAAATCCAGGCTGAAGAACTTGGTAAGCTAGAGAGGATTGACAACGAGAGAGAAGGAGTTAGGGCAAAGGGATTCTACCAATATTTGGCTCCTAATGGTGTCAACTACAGAGTAGACTACACTGCCAATGAGAATGGTTATTACCCTGTTAGCACTCGCTCACCTTAAAATATCTAGTCATATATTCAAAATAAATAGGGATGTACATGGTATGCTTAAGCTACTTTTTGAAATAATAATAAACATACAAAATAAAAGAGAAATTGTTAAATAAAGCATTTCTTAAGTATTTTTTGCATGTTTTCATATTCTTCAATCACAAGAAACATTATTTTAATTATACTTCACTACTCTCAAAATCGTTGGTGAAGAATTTGCTTCCTTTCATTTGAATACAAATAATTAAGCGTTGTAATTACATTTTAATTATTCTTAATAAAAACTGATTTAAGGGTTTTAAATTACAGCTTACTCAAAACATTGACATTGTAACTAGCAAAATTATCCATAATATACTCCAGACCGAATTTCGATGACGGCAGATAGTCTGAAGGGAAATAAGCCTTCTGTGTAAGTCAAGAATATAATATGCACAGGACGAACGGTTTTACGTGCTTTCCGAGGCAAGGGGGTAAACATCACCTACTTCCTAATTTATATGTACATATGAATCCTATATACCCTTAGACTAGTACAAGTATAATCTCTCAAATAGAGTGCAGTTTATCAGGGTTGGAAACACTGATGACACTGCATTGCTTTTCGAGGCTTCAACATGGAAAGAAGCATTTGGTAAGCTAGAATTAGGAATGTCAGTATTGCTAGATGGCTGCGTCATAGTATAGAATGTAATCATATTCATTCAATAGGTATAGATTATAAGAATACTTATTGAGTCATTTAGGCTTTATCACTGATTCGGAAAAAACCTCTGTTCTGGGAAAAATGCGCAAGAAAGCCAGTGGGACTTTTTTAACATTAATTTATAATATAATATTTTATAAAATGAAGTATAAAACATTAAGAATCAGCGTGGTAGCGATAACCTCCTTCCCTGTGGTTATTATCAATGTACTGGTTAGTAGTATAATAGCAATAAAACTTTTTAGTAGCCTATATATCAAAATGTTATTTCCTGCATATTTTCTGGGATTTTGTTGTAAAGGCGTATACAATGCCTCATGCAGAAATTACTTACTATAGGTAATCGAGCAACTGATAAAACTAGATTGTGCTTGTTCTTAGTATTTACAGAATATACATCACTATTTTAAAACAACTATTTTTGTTTTTGTGTACCTAAATTAAATTTTCGTAAATATACTGAGAGGTCAAAGTTAATATATTTATGTCTTTAAAATTTTCGCTAAGGGATTCCTTCGGAGCTAGGTTATAAGTTACTCTAAGGCTCTCTTCTGCAAAACAAAGATAAATTTAATGTCAGTCGCATAACCTCAAAGTAAGATTCCATATGGCATTATGGTATGGATATAACTAAAATAAACTCATCTAGCTGTTAACGAAATTAAAAAGTTAATAAGCTAAGATCTGCGTAATAAAATGAAATGATGTGCCTTATCTAGTCTGAAGAGCACCAACCGCTCTCCCTTAATTTCGTGCACTATCCACGTCATCACTAATCCGAGCACCTCTACTCCGACAGACACATGACCGTCGACAAGAAGACAAAAAAACTTTGAGGAAAGACTGAGATCGGTAAGTTTAAATTCACACTTGCCTGCCAGAGATTCTTGCCACATGCCATCGGCTAGCTCGAGTTAATTCTGCTCGCATTCATGAAAATTTGAATGACGTAGCTTGGAGTCAAGTTTTATTCACTGATAAGTCCAGATGAGGAAAACTCCCGGGAGATAGGTACTGTCAGTGCAACATCATACATAACCTACGGTGGAGGGTCAGTTATGGTATGGGGAAGTGTTTTATGGGGACACGTACAGAGTTCCGCTTCAATGAAAATGGATTTACAGCGGCACAATACGAGTATGTAACTGAGATTTTGGAAGAAATTGTAGAGGCTTGTCACATGCCATTGGTCACCTCGAGAGCCCTGTAACAATATTTTGACATAAGATTGAAATGTCTTCTACGTAAAACTGCGATCAAGCTATCAAAACCACAATTATATATTATATGTTAACCTTTTTAAGAGACAGAAAATTAACTAGATTTTTGTGTTTGATTAATAAACATCGTTTCATAAATTCGTATACCTATGTTTTATTGAGCTAAAACATACCTTATAATTATCACCTACCTAATATTTAGGAATACTTACATAATTAAATTAATAACTTAAGTGCAATAAGCAATAATGCATAGGCATCTTGGCGAATCTCTATTTAACCGCTCTAACTATGTATCAGCATTTATACAACATCTGATTACGTTTGATATAATGGGCAATAAGCATTAGGAGCACTCTATACCTTACTTATTTACACTCTAAGTTCTGAGGGGTCTTATCTATGGTTCTGAGGGGTCCCTTCTAAATATTACTATACTCTTTGGCGAGGTCTATAAAGGAGAAGGTCCAAAATTGTATGAAGCGTAGGTCCAGTTTTGTACTAGTATGGAAATAAATTAAAATAAAATATTAAACCACTTTTGATCATTCAAATCCACGAATTTGGTTTAATTTCAATGGTATTAATATTTTATTCTCACCAAAAAATGCAACACTAATGGCGGACTGATGTCGTTTTGATTTGACGTTAGCTTTAACGGTGGTAGAGCCACGCAGCAGTTTTTGCTGTTGTACGTATGGGCCGGCTCGAGCCGGATTGGTACCACGACCTCACAGAATACCGGCGTGAAGCTCTGCTTCTGCGTTTCGTCTGGTGAGTGCAGATGGCCGGAGGCCCAATTCCCTCCTCCTCCATCAACATGGTAGCGGAATTACACTATAGACTACCCCAGGAGGGTACCAGTACCCCTGGAGAATCCCTCGCTGAGCATCCACGACCATGTTATTCCAATCTTGAGCGTGAGTGCTCAGGCTGCCCCGCGTATTCTGCGGGGGGGGGGGGGGCAAATTCCGCTCAAAAACATAACTGCTCGGGGCAAACTGAGCAACAATACCAAGGCGACCCCTGCCACGCTATCCGTTAATTTCTGCAACATCAGGGGACTTCACTCTAACCTCAACGCCGTCCACTACCATCTCGAGACGGCGAAGCCGGCCTTGCTCTTTCTGACCGAGACGCAGGTTTCCTATCCGGCTGATATTTCGTATCTCTCCTACCCGGGGTACAAATTGGAGCACTCCTTTGTGCCTCGGGCTGGAGTTTGCGTGTATGTCAGAGAGGACATCTGTTCTCGACGCCTCGGCAGTCTGGAAGGTTCGGACCTGTCCATCCTTTGGCTACGCGTAGACAGCGACGACCATCCGCGCGTCTACGGGTGCCTCTATAGGTCCCAAAGCGGAAATGCCGAAACAGACCGACTCATCGACCACGTCCAAATGGCTACAGATTCCTTGCTACAACAGGTCCCATCCGCAGAGATCGTGATCCTTGGCGATTTTAACGCCCACCATGCCGAATGGCTCGGTTCACGTTCAACCGATCATGCGGGAAGATCTGTTTATGACTTTGCCTTGGCATATGGTCTGGCTACTTCTGGTTACTGGTTACTTCGCCTACGCGGATTCTAGATGTAGAGGATCATACACCTTCCCTGTTGGACCTTCTGCTGACCTCTCATCCGGACGGATATCAGGTTTCCGTCGATGCCCCTCTCGGCTCTTCGGACCATTGTCTGATCCGGAGTGTGGTGCCACTCACGTTCCCTTCGCGGTTGCGTTCTGCAGGTTGCCGCCGTGTTTGGCATTACAGGTCGGCGGATTGGGACGGAATGCGGTCTTTCTTTGTATCCTACCCATGGGGGCGGGTTTGCTTCTCGCCGGATGATCCCAGCGCTGTTGCTGACTCTGTCACTGATGTGGTGCTACAGGGAATGGAACTATTTATACCATCATCTGTGGTACCCATCGTAGGCAGATATCAGCCTTGGTTTGGTCGCTCCTGTAAGACTGCATTACGCAGTAAGCAGGAGTGTTATCAAGCCTGGGCTGCGGTTTCGGCCACTCGGGATGTAAACACCAGCACACTTAAAAAGAAGTATAACTTCGCCTCCAGGTCCTTCAAAAGAGTTATTGCTACTCTCTTTTTGCGTCCAACTCGACTCTTGATGACGGGGGGAACACACCGCCGACCGTCCCGCGGTGTGAGTGCTCCATGCCGGATGTGCGGTTCTCACAGCGCTCGGTTCACAGAGCACTCCTCTCCCTGGACATCCACAAGTCGAGTGGGCCTGACAGAATCCCCCCAATTGTGCTGAGGACGTGTGCTCCGGAGTTGGCACCGGTCCTAACGCGTCTTTTCCGGTACTCCTACTCCCAAGGCGTAGTCCCGAATTCATGGAAGACAGCTTTTGTCCACCCGATCCCTAAAAAAGGCGACCGCTCAGACCCGTCCAACTATAGGCCTATCGCGATCACCTCCTTGTTCTCCAAAATAATGGAATCCATTATTAACTGCCAGCTCATCCGGTACCTTAAGGATCACCAGCTGATTAGTGACCGCCATTACGGTTTTCGTCGGGGTCGATCAGCTGGTGATCTTCTGGTCTACCTGACCCATAGATGGGCGGAGGCAGTAGAGTCCAAGGGGGAGGCGTTGGCCGTTAGTCTGGATATTGCGAAGGCCTTCGATCGGGTTGGCACAAAACGCTTCTTTCGAAGCTCTCTTCCTATGGGCTTCCCGAGAAATTGTGCAATTGGATCACCAGCTTCCTTGCAGATCGGAGCATCAAGGTCGTTGTAGACGGTGTATGTTCTGACTAGAAGCCTATTAACACTGGTGTTCCACAAGGCTGTGTGCTATCACCAACGCTGTTTCTTCTGCATATCAATGATATGTTGCTAACTGGTAACATTCATTGCTATGCGGATGACAGCACTGGTGATGCTCTATACACCGGCCGTGCCAATATTTCTCGGGAAAACGTCGCCGAGTACCGGAACAAACTTGTGTCTAAAGTCGAGTCTTTGCTGAAAAAAGTCTCGGATTGGGGGTGACTAAATCTAGTCCAGTTTAATCCTCAGAAGACACAAGTTTGCGCGTTTACCGCTAAAAAGAACCCCTTTG